AAAAAAGTTTTGGTTTTCTGAAATTCCCATATTTTAACGGTTTTTAGGTTTTTTTTCTAAGGCCCGCCCAAGTAATGCATTTTTGCCTAAATATTTTTATTCTCACTAATATTGAAAATTAAGGTCAAAAATATCTCAACTTCAAGAGGCCATAGAAAGGAAATTCGAACTAACTTTGCAAAATCCGTTGGCTGTTTTGTTTATCCAGTGGTCTACTTTCATTCCGCGTTGGAATTATTGAGGCTGATTTTTCTTGCTGCACAGTGTAACAGTTATTTAAGACTTTTGTTAATAAAAGTCATCAATAAAAATCAATCACCGACTTTTATTTTTTAAATCATACTTATAAAGTCATTACCATTTTTTGGCAGTTAAGAAGGTGTTGGAGAAGCAGAATTTACTGCGACTTATACAAATGACTTTTATAAGTATGATTTTAAAAATAGAAGTCGGTGATTGATTTTTATTGATGACTTTTATAAACAAAAGTCTTAAATAACTGTTACACTGTGCAGCAAGAAAAATCAGCCTCAATAATTCCAACGCGGAATGAAAGTAGACCACTGGATAAACAAAACAGCCAACGGATTTTGCAAAGTTAGTTCGAATTTCCTTTCTATGGCCTCTTGAAGTTGAGATATTTTTGACCTTAATTTTCAATATTAGTGAGAATAAAAATATTTAGGCAAAAATGCATTACTTGGGCGGGCCTTAGAAAAAAAACCTAAAAACCGTTAAAATATGGGAATTTCAGAAAACCAAAACTTTTTTTTTGATTTATTTTGATGACTTTTATAAATAAAATTCTTCAGTAACTGTTATCTAAGATATATAATTAAAAAATCATAAATAACTGTTATTTGCAGATTTTTTAGACAAAAATCAAAAATAATAGTTATTTTGGACTAATAAAATAAAAATCAGGAAAAATGTTATTTAAGGAGTAATTACATACGTGGTTGGTGAATATTTTCGTCCACGAGGCGCAGAAATTGTTTAAATGTTCAATTGTTCACAAAAAAATCATTGAAAAGCAGAAAACAAATTTTAAACGCAAATAATTTCATTGTATAGTTTAATGTTTTCTAAAAGTTGACTCAAAAAATTTTTTTTATCAGACACATACTTTCAAAGAAAAACAAAAATTTCCAAAACACTACAAAAATTTTAAATTGTTGATTAAAAAAATCAATTTGGAATTTTGCAACAAAATTTACACAGTGTACTTTTTGACAACAAAACTCGACGCTGCCTGAATATCATTGACAAATATTAATCTTGGTAAATTCGGGGCCCACTTGACGAAGCCCTACCCATATATTAAACGTGCGCTTGACGTGTGTGGATAAAAGTGGCACCCAATTTAATTATGGAACGTATAAAAGGTTTCATATTATCTGGAATAAGAGCTTTTGCTTTGCCCTTTAAAATTAAAAGTAGAAAAGGCAACATCAAATGTATATATGGAATCAGAGAAAGCTATATCATGGACATTCTTAATAGAATATACTCTAACTCTTTAGCGGAAAAAAAGGCAATTTCCGTAAAATCCGTTGCCTGTTTATGACTAAATAATGTAACGTCGACTTTACAAACAAAAGTTGAATTTTAGGACTGATGAAATCACAAAAACTGTCATGCATAAATAAATGTATCATGCACATTAAAAGTTTAACTTTTATGGCTTCCTTTCAAACAGTTTTAGTCTTAAGTAAGCGTTTATAATTACACCTCTTTCAATAACTTAGCAATGGCTAATTCTAACGAAATAATTACTGATACTTGCACAAATACCTTTTCAAGGAATGAAACTGAAAAAACTGATGTATTGACATTTTTCTTTCAATTATATATGATACATATTTATGTTTTACTTATATCATAGGAATCTCTCGACTTTGACGATTTATTACCAATAATTGGAGAATTTGGAAAGTATCAAAAATTATTGGTTTTTGGAATATGTCTACCTGCCTGCATACCTTGTGGATTTTGTGCATTTAATCAAATTTTTATGGCTAATGTCCCGGATGACTACTGGTGTAATGTTCCGGAACTACTTCAAATTTCTGTGGAGAAGCGTAAGCTTTTAGCAATCCCTAAGAACGTGGTAAGTAAAAAATACAGTTTTTTTAATATACCACGTTTCTATGAAGGAAATATTTTTTCGCAGTCTCACAGAATTTATTTTGATAAATTTTGATTCCAAAATTTTACTAAAAGTCATTATAAAAAATTTATGGACATATGTGGGTATATGGATATCGATCGCAAATTTGTGTTTGCTCTGGAGAGATGTTAGGTATATGTTATGTAGCTTGACTATTAAATGAAAGACTTGGGGCCGTTTTCTCAAGTGACCTTTATTTTACAACGCTTTTATCAGCTTGCAATGTTGTGTATCCAGACCACCGATTTTACTATAAATATGTCAAAGGTATTTATGGCAGACCTAGTCTAGATATCAACCTCGTCGTAGGTATCATATCAAAGACGTACAATTAGAAAAACCTTAGAGGTAGACATCGCCCCGCCAGAAGAAGTAAAACATTGCGCCTAAAAATATGCACTACATATGCTACAGCGGAAATGGACGACACGCCATTCCTTTAAATCAATTTATGTATGTATGCACATTAGGGTGGTCCAAAAATGCATGTGAAAAAGTAAAGTCGGAATTTTAATGCTCCCTCCCCCTAGGATTGTTCTATACCGAAAAAAGGTATACCCTTATATTTATACCCGAGCGCACTAGTGCACAAGGGTATTATAACTTTGCTCACATAATGGTTATTTGTAACAGGCAAGAGAAATCGAGATAGATATAGACAAATGTATACTAACCGATCAGAATGAAAAGAGAAATCGATTAAGCGGTGACTGTCTGTCCGTCCGTCCATCCGTCTGTCCCTCCGTCTGTGCACACGATAACTCGAGTAAAAATTGAGATATCTTAACCAAACTTGGTACGTGCACTTCTTTCGGGAGTAGGACGGACGGTATTGAAAAATCGGACAATAACCACGCCTGCCTCCCATATAACGGTAATTTTCAGAAGTACTGAAGATTAATCACAAAAAATTGACATTTACAATAATGTTTAGACGAAAAATAATAATATTAAAAATTTTTGGAAAATGGGCGTAGCCACGCCTACTTATGATTACATGTGTATATCTTGGTAACCGCTGCACCAATTTCCTTGGTACAGCATTCCAAATGGCCGAAAATTTTTAAAATCGGACAATAACCACACCCACATCCCATATAACGGTATAATAGCGAAACACGAATNGACCTTTATTTTACAACGCTTTTATCAGCTTGCAATGTTGTGTATCCAGACCACCGATTTTACTATAAATATGTCAAAGGTATTTATGGCAGACCTAGTCTAGATATCAACCTCGTCGTAGGTATCATATCAAAGACGTACAATTAGAAAAACCTTAGAGGTAGACATCGCCCCGCCAGAAGAAGTAAAACATTGCGCCTAAAAATATGCACTACATATGCTACAGCGGAAATGGACGACACGCCATTCCTTTAAATCAATTTATGTATGTATGCACATTAGGGTGGTCCAAAAATGCATGTGAAAAAGTAAAGTCGGAATTTTAATGCTCCCTCCCCCTAGGATTGTTCTATACCGAAAAAAGGTATACCCTTATATTTATACCCGAGCGCACTAGTGCACAAGGGTATTATAACTTTGCTCACATAATGGTTATTTGTAACAGGCAAGAGAAATCGAGATAGATATAGACAAATGTATACTAACCGATCAGAATGAAAAGAGAAATCGATTAAGCGGTGACTGTCTGTCCGTCCGTCCATCCGTCTGTCCCTCCGTCTGTGCACACGATAACTCGAGTAAAAATTGAGATATCTTAACCAAACTTGGTACGTGCACTTCTTTCGGGAGTAGGACGGACGGTATTGAAAAATCGGACAATAACCACGCCTGCCTCCCATATAACGGTAATTTTCAGAAGTACTGAAGATTAATCACAAAAAATTGACATTTACAATAATGTTTAGACGAAAAATAATAATATTAAAAATTTTTGGAAAATGGGCGTAGCCACGCCTACTTATGATTACATGTGTATATCTTGGTAACCGCTGCACCAATTTCCTTGGTACAGCATTCCAAATGGCCGAAAATTTTTAAAATCGGACAATAACCACACCCACATCCCATATAACGGTATAATAGCGAAACACGAATTCTTCTATAAATCAGTAAATATTAAAGCTAATTTATTCAAAATTGATGCTTGCAACAATTCTTTTCCAAGAAAATCGTTTGTGATAAAATTTTGGAAAATGGGCGTGGCACCACCCTCTTATGATCACATATATGTATCTCGGTAACCGTTCTATTAATTTGTACCAAACTCGGTATGGTTATTGTGCTTGCCACATAAAAGCAAAACGTTGAAAAATATTGAAATCGGACTAAAATTATGGCCGCTTTTCATATAACGGTAAATTTCAGAAATGCTTGAAACTTCAATATTTCGAAATTTCAGGACGCTAATTTACTCAAAATTTATACACCCCAGCTTACCATGTAGCGGTAGCTTTCGGAAAGGTGAACCACATATATTTAATACTTGCGCCGGGTATTTAATGTTCTGCTCCGCCCGAACTTAGACTTTCTTACTTGTTTTATTTTGAAACTAAAAAATATTTACAGGTCGCTCAAAGCACGCAAAGTTCTCCATGTATTTTATATGGGAATAAACAACTTTTCGTAGAAATGATATTTTTCCACAAGAAAACTCTGTTTTTCTCCAACAGATTCCCAATAATAACACCCAATTTTTTATTTAGCCATTTTTTCATCGCAACTTTAATTTATAGGTCCGCCAAAAACCCATAACTACCCCGAAAAATGCAATGGGGCGACCAATAAAAAGTCGTTAGTATTAAAAAATTGTGAAATAAAGAATTGGGTATTATTATTGAAAGTCGCCTAAAGGGGAACAGAATTTTCCGATCGAAAAGTGTTGATTTTCAAGATTTCTATACTATTTCTAAGAAAAATCTTATTTTTCCCACATAAAAATACATGGAAAACTTTGAGCGACCTCTAAAAATTTTTTAAATAAAAATTAGGGGTATACTTTTTTCGATATAGAACAATCCTAGGGGGTGAGAGCATTACAATTCCGACTGTACAGTTTTTGGACCACCCTAATGTACATTTGTATGTATATACAAAACGTGAGCAAACAACATTTTCCTTGCATAGTCTTCTAGTCTCTTTTCACTGCAAGTTGAATTATTTTAATATCTATTGCAAAATTTTATACAGACAAGACTAAAAAGTAGAAAATATATTGAATAAAAAAAAACCTTTTAGTAGACCACGCTTTTATAAATGGACTAAAAATTAGAAAATAATATATCTCATTCCCATAGAAATTGTTTTGATAACTTTTTATTTTGAAATTTTAGCAAAAGTCATTATAAACAATTTATGAGATTGAAACGAAAATCGTGGGTCGCATGTAATAGACCTGAATTGATATGAAGAGTATTATATGTATGTATGTGGGTATATGAATAACGACCACTGTAGAAATTATATTTTTTTATGTTATGTAGTTTGACTATTGTCAATTAAATCTAATGCTTTGTATTGCAGGCGCTCCACGTTTTTCGTTTTCAATCTAAATGCTAAAATTTCAAAATCAAAAGTTATCAAATCAAATTCTATGGGAGTGAGATATATTGTTTTCTAATTTTTAGTCCATTTATTTAAACGTGGTATACTAATATATTTTTTTTTTATTTAAAGCTTGCGGGATTTCGCCCTTTTTTCCGGATTTTATAACTAAAAAGGGCGAATGGGATTTCCTGTCCAAAAACGGAATTTTTGCATAGCATACCGAGAAATAAAATTTAGTAATTGATAATTAAGAAAAGACTGCCATTCTCTGTGGTAAGTTAACGACGTTCATATGAACCTTATGAGCGGACCTTCATTCACATGAAATAAATTTGGATGGCTTCTGAACTTGTTTTAATTGAATGTAATATAATTAAAGAAGTACAAGTCTTTAGAAAGCATAGCGGTATACACAGTTGTTGATCAGTTTGATTTAAACGATGAGTGGAAAAGTATTTTGAGTGATTCTATTACGCAGTGTTACACTGATCATAAACTTTTTAATCCACCTCATTCAGGTCGTAGGGCTGATCGAGTAATTCACTAAACTGCGTTTAAAATTTTTCTAACAATCTAAAATTCCCAACTTATTCTTAAAAACCATTTTCGCATGACTTCCGGTACTAAACAAATTTAAGCTCGGTTATTATTTAGCCAATTTTAAATTTATATAAGAGTTTGGGAAGAAGGATATTTGTATTATTTAAATAAGTAATAAATTTTTTTGGCGCATTGCAAATATGTGGAAAATTTTTAGAATAAATCTAAAATTTAGACCAACTTTTATTATTTTTTCCACTTCTACAACATTTTTTGGCAAAATTTTAAAACAATCAAATTTTCTCTTTTAGTCACTACTTTGTTTTATTCTTAGTAAAACTAGGTGCCATTTATAAAAATTAATAGACAATTTCGGAAGTTGATTTTTCCAAAATCACTTCGCTAATATTTCACAGAAAATTTGAATCAGTCAAATTGGATTCACTCTGAGGTTTCAATAGTTCATCTAGTTGACCTTTAAATGACCGCGATACTAACCTCGTGAGACCAAACTAACCCCGGATTCCGGTTCAGCGATCCCAAAAACATATAGTATAGTGACCTTTTGTTACGATTTTTGTTCCTCATCTGGATTTTCATAAACGATTCATAGGAAAATTTTCTGGAAACTGGTCGGAAAACGCTGACTGAGTACCGAATCTTTATTTTTTATAAACGCCACATAACCTTCGACTCTACAAAAAAACAGGGACAGGGTAATCATTATTTTTTAAACTTTACCCAAAAAAAATCAACTAGTTGTAATCGTCGTAAAACAATTTTATTTATACCCACGTATTTGTTTTCCTACGTCCCACTGTAACTTAAAATGATTTTTATTTTTCGAGTTCAACCAATAAAGATTAAAACTAATAACACTGTGAGACAAATGGTAGGGGTCAGTGATCGGGAAGGGTTCAAACTACCGGGGAAAGTTATATCGGTAAAAAAGAAGTTATACGTGTCCCGGCGTTTCGCTGGGTCACGTCTAGGAATCGAGATATATCGATTTGAAGTTATCATATATGGGAAATTGCACCTTTGGTGGCCTTTTTTTGACATAACTCGAGAACTACTAGTCCGATTTTGCTCAAACAAATTTAAAAAAATTAAAAATTACAATTCCTTTAATCTGTTCATATAACGTTTTTCTATATAATCAACAGTTTTGCCGGTAAAAATAAATGTATGAAGAAAAAAAATATTTTTTGCCTAAAATATTAAATTTTTTTATTTTTTAAATTCATAAAAAATCCAAAACGGAAAAAAGGCAAGTCGTATTAATTTCTAATTAATTTTTAATTTTTTTTAAATTTGTTTGAGCAAAATCGGACTAGTGGTTCTCGAGTTATGTCAAAAAAAAGACCACCAAAGGTGACAATTTCCCCTATATGATAGTTACTAACTTCAAATCGATATATCTCGATTCCTAGACGTGACCCAGCGAAACGCCGGGCCACGTATAACTTGTTTTTGACCGATATAACATTTCCCGTTGGTTTCATCCCATCCCGATTTTGACTGTCGCATAATATTTGAGTTTTATTTTTCCACTCAAAAGTAATTATTATTACTTGATTTTTATTTTTTCGATCAAACATAATGATTACATTTTGATTTTTATTAATTCGCTCAAAAATAATAGTTATTATTGAGTTTTATTTTTTTTCATTTAAGAATAATCATCATTCAAAAAAATCAAAAGCTATACCCTAAACACCCTAAAAAAGGAATAAGCATCAAAATTTTCAGGTGAAAATTTCAGTTAGTTGCGTCTGTATAGCCTTTTCAATTTTATGACTGATCATTATTTTCAAGTGGAAAAATAAAACTCAATAATAATTATTATCTCTGAGCGAAAAAATAAAATTAATAAAATAATCATTATTTGTGATCGAAAAAATAAAAATCAAATAATTATTTCCACTGAGCACAAAAATAAAAATCACTAATAATCCTTATTTTAGAGTGAAAAAAATTAAACTCATAACCAGGGAACGGATTTTATGGAAATTGCCTTTTTTTCTGCTAAAGAGATAAAGTATATTCGATTGAGAATGTCCACGATTTAGCTTTCCCTGATTCCATATATACACATTTGATGTTGCCTTTTTTAAGATATTTGCCTTTTTTTGCCTTTTTTGCCTTTTCTAACTTTAAAAAAGTGATTATAGCATTTACAATTTTTTTTTTAAGATTAAAAAATATACACATGCCCATGCGGCTTATAGAAGCGCAGGGACCTCTTGCCATATTGGTGTTGGAAAAATTTAAATCCGTTTTCTCAGCTAACGTAGGCTTAGAGACAAAAACGCCCTTATTCCTGATAATATGAACGTTTCAAACGTTCCATATTTAAATTGGGCTCCACTTGTATCAACTTACGTCGAGCGCACATTTAGTACATTCAAGGCTTTTCTTCGCGAAAATCGAATGAAAATGCTGCCAGAGAACTTCAAAATGCATCTTGTGGTTCAATGTTACTACAACTATACAGATTAAAGTTTTATGAGTTAGAAACTCGAAAGGATAAAATAGTCAAAGATTCAAAGTACAAATTTTTCATATAATGAAACTAGTTCATAGTTTTTCTATTTTTGCGTGTAATATAAACATTTCTAAAATAAATGTATTTTTTGATTGTTCTTCGAATTTTCTGTCTTTTTTTATTGCCTTATTTTGCTTTTTTGCGATACCTAGTGCCTTTTTCGCTATTTTGTTTTGCCTTTTTTTGCCTTTTTTGCAATACCTAGTGCCTTTTCCTGCCTTTTTCGCTATTTTATTTTGCCTTTTCCAGCCTATTTCGTTATTTTATTTTGCCTTTTTTATAGGTTTTTAGGTCCTAAAAATCCGTTCCCTGCTCATAACATAATGATTAAATGCTGTTTAAAATTATTTTACTCATAATGATTACCGTCACAGAAAAAAACCTAACTTTTCACATCTTAAAAGTACGGTGACCATATTAACGAACATAAAATAAAGGACATTTTTCCCAATGATTTTAAAATACGAACATACAACTTGTATGATGGTAATTTAGATCAAATATTTGCCAGTTAATTATATTATTAAATTGTACAAGTTGCTCTTCTCGAAAGGCGCTGTAACCAGATTTTCACCGATTCCGAAAAATTAAACCAAATCCTTATAAAGGACTTCGCCATCCTTTGCTGCCACAATGCTTTTATTATAATTGAGCGGAGGTTTATTGTTATTTTTCAGTGGATCTGAAAACTTGGCGTGCAACACGATCCTGGGCACAACTTTCCCTGTAATTTTGTCGACAATGAATTTTACTCAAATTATATTAATTTTTCTGGGAAAATGTCTAAATATTTGTTAAATTTTTTTTTTTCAATTACATAAATTTCCCCTTTTCATTATTATCAAGGATTCGTGACCCTTAAGTGGGGTGCGAAACAAACTGACGAAGGTTTTCATTCTGTTTCATTATGGACATTTTTATTTTTTCATATTCTATGTTTAAAAATTGACCTTTTAAAATCCAAAGCTAATTTAAAGGACAGTTTAAGAAATAAAGGTCAAATGGCGTTCTTTATTTTGACAAAAATTATAAAGGACAGGGGGTTAAAATAAAGGACTGTCCTTTAAAATAAAGGACGGATGGTCACCGTACTTAAAAGCAACGATGGCTCTCCACCATTTTTGAGCAGAGCCGCATGCGTTTTGACGTGGAAGTATCCATATAAATCCTTTGTATATTGCATATAGCATTAATTGTTTTTTTTTATGGTCGATTATGTAGACCATAAATCGGACGTAAAGCGCGAAACACATTTCGAACCGAACACTGATTTTGGTAATAAAATTCAATGATTTGCAAGCGTTGCTCGTTAGTAAGTCTATTCATGATGAAATTTCAAAGCATACTGAGCATCTTTCTCTTTGACACCATGTCTGAAATCCCACGTGATCTGTCAAATACTAATGCATGAAAATCCTAACCTCAAAAAAATCACCCGTTATATGTACATTACGGTGGGTCAATTTGTATGGGAGGGTTTTTAGACTATGCGCGTATATCACAGCAGGATTCTACGAGTAATTCTAAGCAAATTTGCGGAAGAAACCATGGATCAAAAATCAATTTGGAGTTTGCCAAATTGCAAAAATAGATTTCTTAGCATTTTGCCCCAGTGCCGTTAGAAAGTGCTTCAATTTTGTTTTGGACTTATCTTTTACTTCTAAATTTCCCAGAGGACGCAAAGTGAAAAATTCCACATTTTCTTCGAAAACTATTTTCGCAATTTGGCAAACTCCAAATTGATTTTAGACCTATTGTAGAATCTATTATCTATCTATGCTATACGCGTATAGTAAAAAAAAAATTCACCCGCCCTTATGTACATGCTTATGTTTCTTCATATGAAAGCATTTTATGTATAATAGATACATACAGCGCGGGATTTCTGTTATAACTTTAGTACAAAACGGGATATATATTATAATTGGACGGGATTTTATTAACGAAGTTACTGGCAACACTGTTTTCTATAATGCCGAAAGCATGCGCGCACAACCTCCTCGTTTCAACTGAAGCTGGTCTAAAGTAAAGCTTTTCTAGTACCGGTTTTTGACGTATGTACGTTTCTTGGTTGCCAACCAATTTAAAACTGATAATAAATTGTGAACAGCGTAGGGGGCTGTTTGTGGTGCAGTTGGCGGCAGCGGGGCGAATTCGTTTGGAGCGGGCGTTGGCGATCTAGGCGGCTGGAAGCGGAGGATGGGCACTGAAGAATGGTGGCGGCTGCGAACTAGGCGGCTGGAAACGGAGGATGGCCACTGAAGATCGGTGGCCA